GGCTGCAGAGAGCCAAGATTGTGATCATGCCACTGCACTCCAGCCTGGGCAACAGAGCCAGACCCTGTCTCAAAAAACAAAAAAGATACTAAAGAGCTAACTAGAAATTCTACGTGGATGAGCACCTCTTGCTTACTGTGGACCTCACAGTATGTGATGGGATAAGGAAATTCTAAATACCATGTTTGTTTGGTTTTTTTCCCATAGGCTAGTCAATTTCCCCAGAGAAAAATGTGATAATGTCCTGGCTGAGGGGCTTATAAACGAGTGTTCTGGGAGCCAAGGATGGGTCAGTTGCTCTGAGGTAAGTCTTTCAGTGTTTTGGTGGACAGAGATGGTGTCTGTGATAACAAGCCCGACAGCCAGGACAGTAGGAACCAAGACAGGAAGGTAGGTGGAAAGATGTGGCTGAATATGCAGACTTCAACTTGATCTACTATTTTGGGTAAGAAACCTGCCTCCCACCCTCATTTATAACAGGATTTCTCCAGGTTAGGCTTTGACACATATATTCTTTGGGGATGGGGATCTGGGGTGCTAACTCTTCCACATTCACACTCTCAACTCATTTTCCATTTTCAGCCCCAGTGTACATCCTATATTCACAGGTACCTAAAACCTATCTAAGAACATGGCCCACATGTGGCTGAAAACAGGATTGCTTCCTGTTAGCTTCCTCCACTGCAAATACTTAGTGGAGCAGATAAAGTTGAAACCTAAATTACTCATCATATATGTACCTACATTTCAGTTTTCAAAATTTTGTAGGGAAAAATTCTGGCCCACTGCGATCTCCTCTCCCGATCTCTTCAAGAAAATTCCTTTACTGTCATTTTAGTGAGGTTGGGGAGGGAGAAAATATAATCTATCCCATTTCTCCATCTTTTCTAAAAGTCCCTCCTGACCCTGAAGACATCTGTTCACTTGTCATTGGTCACAACTTGGTAACATGTACCATCCCACGTAATTGAGGGGAGACAAAATGATCAAACAAAGCAAAATGACCAGAACTTGGGGTCAGAACATTCTTCCTAGAAGAACATCACCACAAAGAGGAATCTGATACCTGAAAAAGAAAGAAGTTCTGGGAAAGAGAATAAGCAACCTAAAGTATAATCATCACTTAGTGAGTGAACACTGAACAGCTGCCTTTATTAAACCATGGAAAGATGTTTTTAAAAATCAACTTTAGGCTGGGCGCAGTGGCTCACGCCTGTAATCCCAGCACTTTGAGAGACCAAGATGGGAGGATCACTTAAGGCCAGGAGTTCGAGACCAGCCTGGCCAACATAGTGAAACCCCATCTCTACTAAAAACACAAAAATTAGCTGGGCGTGGTGGTGCGTGCCTGTAATCCCAGCTGCGGGAGGCAGGAGAATCGCTTGAACCCAGGGGGCAGAGGTTGCAGTGAGCCCAGATCACACACCAATGCACTCCACCCTGGGGGATAGAGTGAGACTCTGTCTTAAACAAACAAACAAACAAAAATATATATACACACACACACATAAAATTTAAAAAAAGAAGAAACAACTTTGTGGAGGATATAATTTACAGACAATAAAATTTACATACAACATACCAGTGTAAACACCCCCACAATAAAGATGCAAAAGCATTTTCATCGCCCATGAAAGTTCCTTTACGCCTCTTTGCAATCTTCCCTCCACCCAAGCCCCAGGCAACCACTCCTCTGTTTTCTTGTCACTATCCACTGGTTTGCACCTTTGAGATTTTTGTGTGAATATACAGCATGTACACCTCTGGGTCTGGTTTCTTTCACAAAGCATGTTTTTGAGCCAGATTCATGCTGTCTAGAGCTCCTTTTTCCTGCTAAGAGCTCTCACTGGACTGGGACAGCACAGTTTGTTCATACATTCGCCTGATGAGTCCCTGGATTGTTTCCAGCCTTTGGCCATCATGCATAACGTTGCTATGAACACTCATTAAGAAGCCTCTGCCTTTTCATTCCTCTCACATAAAAATCTAGGCATGGAATTACTGTATCCTTGGGTAACTGCTGTTTAACTTTAAAACAAAGTACTGTTTTCTAAACTAGCCCTACTTTACATTCTCAACAGAAGATATGAAAGTTCTGCTTGTGCCACACACTTGCCAACACCTGGCACTATCAGTCTCTTAAATTTTAGCCGTATGTAGAGGGTAAAGAGTGGTAGTTCATTATGGCTGGAAATTGCTTTTCTCTGATGATTAATAATGTGAGTATTTTATGTAGCTCCTGGCCATTGTTTTGTCTTACCTTGTGAAGCATACTTTGAAATCTTTTGTGCATTTAAAACCTGGGATGATTATTATTGAATTGTAAGAGTTCTTTACAGTCCTTTGTCAGATTCATCTATTGTAAACATTTTATCCCATATTGCACATTTTCTTCACTCCTTTCTGAAGAGCAAACATTTTAATTTTGATAAAGTTCAATTTAGCATTCATTTATTTTATGGTGTGTGCTTTTTGTATCCTACTTAGAAAATCTTTTCACACCCAGAAGGCACATGAACATTTTCCCCTATAATTTTTCCAGAAGCTTTATAGTTTTAACTCTTTTAGGACTTTGGTCCATTTTGAGCTTTCTGGGCAGCATATAAGGTATGGGTTAATGTTCGTTTTCTTCCACACAGATATTTAGCTGCTGTTGTACCATGTGTTGAAAAGATGTTCCTTTCCTCATTGAATTGCCTCAGGACCTTTGCTGCAAATCAATTGTCTATTTACGTGTGGACCTATTTCTGGATTCCATCTTCTCATTTATGTACATGTCTATTCTTTTGCCAGTATCACAGCCTTGCGGTGCTGTAAAAGTCAGTCCTCAATTTTTGCTGGCTTTGCCAGTTCTAAGTACTCTGCATTCCATACACATTTTAGAACCAGCTTTTCAATTTCTACAAAAAAAATACAGCAGGAGTTTTGATTGAGAATGTACTGCATCTACAGATGAATTTGTAGAAAATTGATTATTTATGATACTGAGATTTCCAATCCACAAGCCTATTTATACTAATATTTTGTAGTTTTCAGTATGTAAGTTTTACATACATTTTGTTAAATTTATCCCTAGTACTTATGTATTTGGATGATATAGCAAGTGGAACACTATACTTACAATTTTTTTTTTCCAGTTATCTGTTTTTCTTGGTATTCTGATCAAAATTTAAATGGTTTTCTTGATATACTGAACTTGTATGCTCTTACAGTAGTGAGATCCTACTGTATCTTGCTAAACTCACTGACCAGTCCTAGTAGCCTTTTTATTTTTATTTTTCAGAGACAGGGTCTTGCTCTGTTCCCAGGCTGGAGGGCAGTGGTGCCACCATAGCTCACTGCAGCTTTGAATTCCCAAGCTCAAGCAACTCTCTTGGCTCAGCCTCTAGAGCAGCTAGGGCTACAGGTGTGCACCACTACAACGAGCTAATTTTTAAAACTTTTTTGCAGAGACGAGCTCTCACTATGTTGCCCAGGCTGGTCTTAAATTCCCAGCCTCAAGCAATACTCCTGCCTTGGACTCCCAAAGCACTGGGATTACGGAAGTGAGCCACTGCACCTGGTTCAGTATTTTGAAGCTCTGTTATCAGGGACATATATATTGAAGATTTTTATAGCTCTGTAAGATACTGACCCTTTTATCATTATAAAGTACCCTTCATCTCTAACAATATTCCTCGTCTTAAAATTTATTCATTCAATGTTAACATCACCACTTCAGCTTTCTTATGCATATTCTTTTCATGGTATAATATTTTTCCATCCTTTTACTTTTAACCTGTGTCTCTGTGTTTAAAGTGTGTCTCTTCTAAGCAGGTAAAATATACAAATCTTACAACGGTAACTTTCCATTTGCCCTGCCCCATCTTAGTGCTATTGTTGTCATAATTACACCTATATATACATTATATGTTTAAAAGGTTTTTTATTTTTTAGGTAGAGAAAAGGTCTCACCATGTTGCCCAAGCTGGCCTCAAACTTCTGGGCTCAAGCAATCCTCCCACCTTGGCCTTCTAAAGAGCTGAGATTACAGATGTGAGCCACCATGACCAACCTATATGGACATTATAAACCCAGCACTACAGTGTTACAAAATCTTTTTTTTTTTTTTTTTTTTTTTAGACGGAGTCTCGCTGTATCGCCCAGGCTGGAGTGCAGTGGCCGGATCTCAGCTCACTGCAAGCTCTGCCTCCCGGGTTTTTACGCCATTCTCCTGCCTCAGCCTCCCGAGTAGCCGGGACTACAGGCGCCCGCCACCTCGCCCGGCTAGTTTTTTGTATTTTTTAGTAGAGACGGGGTTTCACCATGTTAGCCAGGATGGTCTCGAACTCCTGACCTCGTGATCCGCCCGTCTCGGCCTCCCAAAGTGCTGGGATTACAGGCTTGAGCCACCGCGCCCGGCCCTACAAAATCTTTAAAATCTTGTTTCTTATGTCACCAGCAGGCACAGTGGCACACGCCTGTAGTCTCAGCTACTCAGAAGGCTGAAGCAGGACAATAGCTTGAGACCAGGAGTTCAAGGCTATAGTGCACCATTAATTGTCCTTGTGAATAGCCAATGCACTCAAGCCTGGGCAACACAGTGAGAGCTGCATCTCAAAAAAAAAAAAAAAAAAAAAAAAGGTCATATGTATCTTAAAGAAATTAGAGAAGGAAAAAAATTCATAGTCTTTTATTTCCAGTGATCTTCATTTCTTCCTGTAGATGAGCTACCACCTGGTATCATTTCCCTTCCTTCTGAAAACTTCTTTTAGTGTAAGTCTGCTGGTGATGAATTCTCTCGATTTTTGTTTTTCTGAAAATGTCTTTAGCCCTCATTTTTGAAAATTGTTTCTCTGGATACTGGATTCTTGGTTGACAGGGTTTTTCTTTCAGTACTTGACTATACTGTTCCAGTGTTTTTTGGCTTCCTTTGTTTCTGATGAAAAGTCAGTCATATTTGTAACACCGATCCCTTTTATGTAATGTGTCACTTTTCTCTGCTTCCCCTCCCCACACAAGTTCAGAGACATAATGCGCTGATGTTGTAACAAGGTTCAGAGGGTGGCACACCTCACACATGTGCATGAACACCCAATCGTCATACTCGTGAGCTGCAAAAGGATCTCCATCTGCTTTTAAGATTTTTTTTTTTATCTTTGGTTTCAGCAATTTGACTATGATGTGCCTATGAGTGCTTTTTCTCTGTGCTTAGACTTCATTGAACTTATTGAATCTATAAATTAGTGTTTTCTACCATATTTGAGAAGTTTGGGGATATTATTTTTTCAAATATTGTTTTTTGCCTATTTTTCTCTTCCCTTTCTAGGACTCCAAGTACACTTATATTAGGCTACCTGATATCGTCCTACAAGTCTCTGAGGTTCTACTAACTTTTCTTCAATCTTTGCTCCTCTCTTCATTGGGTGGGATAATTTCTATTGATCTATCTTCAACTGCACAGATTATTGTCTCTGTCATTTCAAAACCGCTGTTGAGCACATCTAGTGAACTTTTTTTTTTTTGAGATATGTTGTCAGCCAGGCTGGAGTGCAGTGGCATGATCACAGCTCACTGCAGCCTCGATCTCTTGGGCTCAAGTGATCCTTCCACCTCAGCCTCCCAAGAAGCTGGGACTACAGGCACCTACCATCATGCCTGGCTCATTTTCAAATCGCTTTGTAGAGGTGGGGTCTCACTATGTTGCCAGGGCTGGTCTCAAACTCCTGAGCTCAAGTGATCCTCCTGCCTTGACCTCCCAAGGTTGTGGGATTATAGGTGTAAGCCACTGCACCCGGCCTCCAGTGAGTTTTTATTTCAGCTATTACTTATTTGAGCTCTACAACTTCCATTTGTTTACTTTCCATTTCTTCGTTACAATCTGTTCAGTTATTTTTCCTTTAATTTCCTTCCTCACTTAATTTTCCTTTAATTCTTTGATCAAATTTTCCTATAATTCTTTGATCACAGGACAGCAGCTTTGCAGTCTGCCTGCAAAATCCAACACTGTACCCACTTAGACGCTCAGAGTCAGTCTCTATTGATTGCTTTTCTTCCTCAGTATGAGTTAGACTTTCCACTTTATTTACATGTCTAGTAATTGTAGATCGAAAACCTGGCATTGTAGATAAGATGTTATAGCAACTCTGGATTCTACTGTGTTATTCTGAGGACTTTCTTTTTTTATATTCTAGTAGGCAGTTAACTTGCCTAGATTAAAACTGCAAACTGTCTCTCCTATGGTATGGAGCAGCTGCTATCTCTGCTCAGCTCTTACAGTGTCTAGCCTAGCTCCCTGGGGTCTCCCATGCTTCTGTGTAATCTGGCAGACAGCCAAGGATTTAGATTGATCATACTCAGATTTAGGGGCTCATACTCTCCGATTTTTGTGTTCTTGTGATTTCCTCCTAAGTTTTCAGCTGCTTGGGCAATATTAGGGTCTTTCCTCTCAAACCCAAGCCAGTAAGGCTTCAGCTTTCCACAGCTTCGCTGTTCACAGTTTAGGGATATACTGTTTTAAAAAGCATGAACCTCACAGATCTCATATAGTATAGTTCTGTCTTTTAAGGGGAGATTCCTCTCTAGCCTCTGTCTGCTTGCTTTGTTTCACTGGTTGGCTGGTTTTTATTTTTGTTTTTGTTTTGCTGGGCTCCCTGGGATTTCACCTATACATTTAGAGTTTAACAGTCAACCAGGAATTTGGGCAGTTTTCACTTAGATATGGGGCCTCACCCTTTCTGTAGTCCTCTCTTGTTTCCAGGATTCCCCCTGGACTTTCCAGCTTCTCTTCCATTCCTGACTTCTCTTCTTTGGCACCTCTCATCTGTAAGGCTGCAGCTTTTCACTGTCATTTCATTCTACTGAAACCCCACCATGGGTAATGATGCATAACTTCTGGCAAAAAAGTCATAAACTTGCAATTCTTGCTCCTTCTATTATAGTGTTTCAGGAGTCAACTCTCCTCCAGGTTCTAGGGACAGTTTTTGGATGCTTTTAGTTGTTTCTTATATTTTACCCAGATCTTTCAATTGTTATCTGTAGGAGGGTTTATGCAACCACTTCACTCAATCTCCCTTAATGGAAATTTCCTCTAAACCAACAGAAAGTAATTTACTTTGTGGATTTTTAAAAATAATACCTTACTTTTAAAAGCACAGTGCTATACACAAAACATTTAAAAGTAATAAGTTTTCAAGTAATGAACAATAACACTTCAGTGGTAAAGCCCTGTCTTTAGAAATTTATGAGATCAAATATTCCAAATGTTGCATGTGATAAAGTCATATAGCAAAGGTAGAAAGGCTTAAAATGTTTTTTCTGTTTTAGTGAAAAGGAAACGACATAAAAGAATAGTTCAGTTAGATACAGGAATTATGTTCTTAGAAAAAGAATCCATTTCCTGCCTAGAAGTCAGCAAAACCCAGTCTTTTCTATATTTAGCAAATGGAGAAGATGGGAAAAGCTAGAACTCTTTCAGTTTTGTTTTGGTTTTGTTAATCTCAATGGTTATTTTTGGGAGAAAAAGAACGAACGTATGTCAGTGGATCAAATAACTATTATAGATTACTGTATTGGATTCCAATTGCTGTAGAGAGTAATTACTATTTTATATGTCTTTAATAAAGTATAAATATTCACAGATGGTCTGCTGTGTGCAAAGCACTATATGATAGGAATAGAGAGATGGGATGTGGAGGGAGGAATTGAACAAATATGAATAAGATCAGTTTTAGCCGGGCACAGTGGCTCAAGCCTATAATCCCACTTTGGGAGACCGAGGTAGATGGATCACTTGAGGTTGGGAGTTTGAGATCAGCCTGACCAACATGGAGAAACCCCATCTCTACTAAATATACAAAATTAGCCAGGTGTGGTGGTGCGTGCCTGTAATCCTAGCTACTCAGGAGGCTGAGGCAGGAGAATTGTTTGAACTCGGGAGGCAGAGGTTGCAGTGAGCCGAGATGGTGCCACTGCACTCCAGCCTAGGTGACGAGAGCAAAACTCCATCTCAAAACAAAAAAAAAAAATCAGTTTTGCCCCCAAAGATCTTATAATGTACTGAACAGACATGTAAAACACATACACACACACACACACACACACACACACACGGGAATACAAGATATGGAATGGATGTAGAAAGGAAAGTTAAGTGCTGTTTATAGGCTGGGTACTTAAACTCACAATTTCAAATACAAAGTTAATGTTATGCTATGAGCTGCTTTTTAAAATGCATGTTTATAAAATATTTGTTTTTGAAGTAGTACTTCAAAAAGTAGAAAAAGTAGAAATACACAGTAGAAAAAAACTCTTATTTTGGAAATACATAATAAAGTGGAACAATCCTATAAATCACAAGATCACTGTTAAAAGTCTGAAGAAAAAAAGTGCATGTTGGCTGGGGACGGTGGCTCACACCTGTAATCCTGGCACTTTGGGAGGCCAAGGCAGGTGCATTACCTGAGGTCAGGAGTTTGAGACCAGCCTGACCAACATGGGTGAAAACCCATCTCTACTAAAAATACAAAAATTAGTCATGTGTGGTGGCGCACGCCTGTAATCCCAACTACTCGGGAGGCTGAGGCAGGAGACTTGCTTGAACCCAGGAGGCGGAGGTTGCAATGAGCCAAGATCAAGCCATTACACTCCAGAATGGGTGACAGAGTAAGACCCTATTTCAAACAAACAAACAAAAAAAAGTGTGTGTGCATGTACACATGCTCACATATACCTTTGAGCATATACTTCTGTGCTGCTCCATCTCTTTTCGACCAAATGCATCACATTTAGCAACTGTTAAGTGGACACCTTTCCATATTAAAACATATACGACTTCATTCTGTTTTGTTTTGTTTCGTTTTGAGATGGAGCCTCACTCTGTGACCCAGGCTGAAGTGCAGTGGTGTGATCTTGGCTCACTGCAACCTCCGCCTCTCCGGTTCAGGCGATTCTCGTGCCTCAGCATCATGCGTAGCTGGGATTATTACAGGTGCATGCCAACATGCCCACCTAATTTTTGTATTTTTAGTAGAGACGAGGTTTCACCATGTTGGCCAGGCTGGTCTTGAACTCCTGACCTCAAGTGATCTGCCCTCCTTGGCCCCGCAAAGTGCTGAGATTACAGGCGTGAGTCACCACACCCAGCCTGACTTCATCTCAGCACTTTGGGAGGCCAAGGGGGGCAGATCACTTGAGGTTAGGAGTTGGAGACCAGCCCGGCCAACATAGCGAAACCCCTTTCTACTAAAAAAACAAAAATTAGCTGGGCATGGTGGTGTGTGCCTGTAAACCCAGCTACTTGGGAGGCTGAGACATGAGGATCGCCTGAACCCAGGAGGCAGAGGTTGCAGTGAGCCGAAATTGTGCCATTGCACTCCAGCCTGGACAACAGAGTGAGACTCTGCCTTTAAAAAAAAAAAAAAAAAAAAAAAAAGGAAGGTCTTGAACAGCAAATGGCTTCCCAAACTATCATACATTAAATCAGGGCAAAAATCATGGCAAACTAAATTTCCCATTCATTTCTTCCTGGGGGTTAGTGGTAGAACATGACAGGCAGATACGAATGGGAAGTGCAGTAACAATACTAATGAGGACTCAGAAGCAACCAGTCTCAGCCTCTGGAGAACCCGCAGCACACTGGCATCAAGCAGACAAATGAGCCTTTGCTCTATGGGCTTCAGACCTGTTCCAGAACCCCTCCCAGCCAGGGCAGAGCTCACAACACTGCAGCCTCCAAAGTGCTCCAACAGGGGATGCTCCACCTGGGGAAGGGAAGATGCTACAGGTGATGTCTCCTTTACAGCAAGAAGCTTTAAATAATCCAGACTAAGTCTCTTGAAGCCAGCAGTCCATTACAAGTAGAGTTAACTGATAAGGTGGAATTGATTACAAGAAGGTAATTCAATTGCAAGACTCCTGACAACACTATAATCTAATACTGCTTAGGAGGGAAATCACTCTTTCTCTTTCGCATTTTCATTAACAGCACTACCTGACTGCAGTTTAAAAAGCACCATCAGGAAAAATAGCCTCTTTCACTGTCCTTCCTAGATAGATTAATCTGACCTGTCTGTAAATAATGGAATTTCTATTCAAGTCCCAGCTTGTGATTCATTTTGTTTGCCCA